TGTCGTGATAGGTTAGTAGAATGTTTTAAAAATAAATGACAGTTAAAGTGGTTTCTAGTAATTAAGAGTACAATCTCACCCATGTAATTGGTGGTGCAGATGGTTGTAATGCACTATGCTCATCGACATCAATCAGACCTAACATAAGAAGACCTTTAGCAACGCTTGTATAACCCTGAGAAAAAATAGAGAGACATATCGTGACAGCTAATGATGTTCGTTCTAAGAATTCTACATCTTGGATCCCAGAAAACACTGTCATTTGTTGTATTAAAGACTCCAGTGAAATATTCCCTGCTAAAATTTTCCGTGATGCATAAAAATCTCATCAAAGGAGTAAAAGGATTTACAGTATTAAGTTCATGGTGTTTGTTGACATCGTTAGACCAGTATTTCTTCAGGTAAATAAATACATGGTACATGATCATACTTACCTTGTACCTGAGTGTACCTCTGAGGATTGTAGTGGCAGATGGGATATTATAAGCTTCTTTATAGATGGTTGAATCTCTATTTGGAAACCCTTCTAAATTGAAACCAGGCAAGAATTCCATATCTTTGGCACTGTCTAGGAGTGCACCCCCTCGTGGTATGTATACTTCTTCACCATTTATCAAGTACTTGGCATCACTTAAGGTGTTAAGGAGGACACCACGAGGACTCCAACTGTAGTAAGAGTAAATTACATGACTTGTTAACAAGGATTATGACCTAATTTCTTTCTTTTTATTCCTTCCATTTTATTATGACCGGAGAGCGACCACTGTAGTATACAATTTGACTATCTGAGTACATGTAAAGATACACACATAATGCTATTTATATTAAAAGTTTCAACTGTATGACATATAGAAATATACATTGTTTACCGATTATTTAAATTTCAAAATCATTAACTAGCCTTGTCATTGGATGTTACCAAAATGACTTGATATAACTCTAAATAATGAATGTGATGTTCACAGAGCACACAAATGAAAAACTGTGCCATATATTAATTTCACATCATATATGACGTTATTATTAATATTTCAGTTCAACACAAAGTCTCTATAAGGCCAAAAAGAAAACTTATGTTGTTATGTTGCCCTCTAGTCGGTAAATTGAAAAAAATAAGTCAGACGGTCGAATCAGCCCAAGGTTCACTTACCCCCCCCCCCTTCCCCAGAGACCCTTGGGATCAAACAACGGTCCGGGATCGTTAATTTTTAGAGGAAACACTTTTTTACTGCTTAAAATGGTGAGTTTAATAATAATAATTTAATATTTGGGCTTATTAAAAAAAAAAAAAAAAAAAAACGCGACCTGATATTTTATATTTATCAGTTGGTCGCTGAGGGCAACAAAACAATTTTTTTTTGGCCTAATTAACAAAAATTGTATACTACCATATTAATTACTACATAAACATGTAGCACTGCATGTACTTGCCTGAATTTGTATCTGAGCGGATTGTCAGAGTGTTCCGGTGCCGGTATTCCACCACAATATGAAATGAATGATGTAATCTAACAAAAACACAAATATTTAAAATGTAGACAAGCGACCTCATGATCAAAACGACATGCTGTCTTTGTAGATTGTCCTTCTGAAACAAAGTTGATATTATTCTATAATAATAATAATAATACAGTTTTAACACCGTAATGAAATTACAAATCTATTTTTGGCTGAAAGTAATAAAAGGTAAAGTAAAAAGGTAAGTAAACAAGCAGCCTGTCGGCTGAGATAGCTCCGCTGTT